CTATTCCTGTAAAGTTAAACTTAGACAGTTACATATTAACTGCATAAGTTTAACATGTAACTTCAAGAAGGTTCTTGTTGCATGTAGTAGAGTGGATTCCGACTCATAGCGACTCTTTAGGACAAAGTAGAACTGCCCCATAGGGTTTCCTAGGCTGTAATCTTTATGGGAGCAGATCTCCAGGTCTTTTCTCCCACAGAGCCGCTAGTGTGTTTGAACCACCGATCTTTAGGTTAGCTGCCAAGCACTTAACCATTTTGGGCTCCTTTTAAGAAGATATAATAAAGTGGTATGAAAGGTAACCTTTCAATTGAGAGTTGACCTTGATAATCTAATGACTAAAATATGTCTACTATTTTCAACGTTATTCTTTGTGAGATGTGAACAGATATACTTCCCTTTGATGTACAGTTTATAATTTTTATCTGGTCGTCACATACGATTTTTAATATGTAGGTATGAGATAATTTTCATTGAAAAAGGAGAAAAAATGTTTTAGCAATTAACTCTCAAGATTAAATCTCTAACATTTTGATATGGAGACTTGGAGGATGAACTGCTGTTTTTAGTATGCTGATGTGTTAAGCTGCCTGGAAGCAGATGTTGAATCCTATTGAAGAAGTTATCTTTAAGAGTTATGCTTAGGGCGTTGTTTAGCAAAAAACTACACAGAAAGTCTTGACCTGTGTGTTTGAAATGGCAGATGTTCACAGTGAGGACTGAGCCTTAGGGCAACATGAGCCTTCACTATTCTCTGCCTATGTGCTTAATAATGGGTTGAGTGGAGAAAAAAAAAAGTTCAGAAAGCCATTTACCAAACAGCTGTTCTTGGTGTTACAAATGGCAGTGCTTCCCTTTAGCTAACAATCAAAAACCACAAGAAAACTTGAGACCACTAGGTCAAACGTGAGTACTTCTTTTCCTTCAGAATTTCATTTTCGTTAAATATTTTCAATGCAGGTCCAAGGACAGGATTTTTTTTTTCTTATTTCCTCCAAAAAGGAAGTTTTAAACTGTTCTTTAAATTTGACAAAGCATCAGGACAGTACAACACTAAGCACCTTCATTCATCTAACAAATACTTATTGATATTCTGTGCATTTAACACCTTGCTAAGCCTGTGGGTTCAAATACAAAGTTTACATAGCTAAAATGACATTAATACTTTAAGTAAAGTTTGTGTTATTCATGCTGTAACAAAAACAAAATAAACACTATTTATTTTGAGATGGTCCCCGGGGGAGTGTAGTGAGGGCAAGTTGAGATGTCTTCCCAATGACTTGGAACACTTAAAGAGGCCAGGTTCATGTTATTACAAGACCCAACTTTTGACAAAGTACACAAATATCTTTTTGTTTTTATTATGAAAGTATATATTTAGGAGCACATGCAGAGGAGATAGAAATCCAATCTGTTTAAAGACTATTAAAGATACCAGGATGTTGATATAATATGCCAGAAAGCTCTTAGGAAGAAGCTGTTGTGGTCAAATTCTAAACTGAGGCATAAAACTTTGCACGCAAACCATTGTGCAGTTCTGTGTAGTCTTTTCCTGAGCCAGGTAACTAGTGAACCACCCTCTGCCCTAAACCATCTGAGCTGGGAAATGATAATACCATCCTGCGATTCATCATTCATTATACGTTCAAGGATTATTGAACTGAGTTTTTGTGCTAGGCAGCATGCAAGTTTCTATAATAACAGCATCACCTTTTTTTCTATGGGATATTTATACCTGAATCAAAATCTTTTCTAACACCTCTTTTTTCTTAGGAGATGAAGACTGATAATCAGCAATATGAAAATGCACATATATGCAGTATGCCCGCTGCTTGCTCCTTGCCTCTCATAGCCCAGTGTTCATGTGTCCTAGGTTGGCCACACCCAGTCACATGTCCACCCAGTCACACATACATATTCATGGGCACACACATTCCCAGGCACACAGTCACTCAGTGTTTTGAACCATTGTCCTTCCCACTTTCCCAGCTTTTTTCCAGTTACTTTAAGAAAATATTTTTCTTTCTATTTTTTCCTCCTTTCTCTCTTCTAGTCTCTTTTTTATATCCTCTCTCTTTTTTTTAAACTTGTAGAGAAAAAGGGAAAAAGAAAAAAAACTATGCTCAATATAGAATTTCCCAAACTTTCTCAGTTCACGGCACCCTCAATTTCTTCATGGTGCCTAAACCAAAAGAAGTACCCAGCAATTCCATTTAAGTAGTATAATAAGTATTCTGTCCTAACAATTGAGTGGCCTTTTGGGAAAACAAAAACAAAAACATAAATTAAAAGAAAAGAATGTTTTATTTTATTCTAGAAACCCATAATTCCTAATGGGATGTGTGTGCCCAGCTTCTTACCTTGGAGTCAGATTGAACACTGGCTTTCCATGTTGACTTTCATGCATCCTTCACTTCTATATCACAAACACCATCAAAAATCCAACTTTGCAAAGATATGGCATCATCAAAAGGAATGTAGATTAATCTAATGTTAAAATTGAGAATTACTTTGAACTAGTGAAGCCCTGGTGGCACAGTGGTTAAGAGCTCAGCTGCTAACCAAAAGGTCAGCAGTTTGAATCCACCAGCCACTCCTTGGAAACCCTATGGGCAGTTCTGCTCTGTCCTGTAGGGTCCCTATGAGTCGAAATCGGCTCCATGGCAACGGGTTTGGTTTTTTGTTTCGAACTAGTAACTTGCGTGGTGTCCTGCAAATGTTGCTGTGTTTTCCTCAAATATTGAAAAAATTTCACTGTTCTCCTAGGAGGTTGCTGTAGCACCCTGGGAACTGTTGGCTATAAAGCAAAAGAATAATATTTAAATCAAAAGAAAATAAAATCGGATATTTGAAATGGAAATAGATATACTAAAGTCATTAATCTTTAAAGTATCTGCAAATTTCCCCAAATACTTTTTCTTAATCTCTGCAAATGTACCCACCTATCATTTCATTCTTATATGACAAAATTCACTTTTCTTAAGCACTTGTCTTTAGAATTAAAAAATCAACTCTTGCATATTCAGTTCTGGGTTTTTTTTGGTTTGCTTACTAGTATTTCCTTGATACTGTTTTACACAGTGAAACCTGTGAGAGCCGGAACTCAATGGGGCTGCCTTGTTCTTCCAGGTCTTGCAAGTTTTCTGCCTTTGACAGGGTACAGTCTTAACCACTTTAATATCGCTGGTTTTAGTGGAAAAATATTTGCGTTTTCCTTCTCTAACAGGTTTCCGTCTTACGCAGGTTTCAGTTTTTGTAGGTTGTAGTGTACTATTTTCATTAAACAGTCTTTTAAGTTAATTTAGCTTTTGGACTTTACCTAGAAGTCTAATAATGAACCATTTTTAGCATTATCATATGGAAGAATGCAGTCTAACTTTCAACCAAGTAACTCACAAACACACTTCTAGAAGTCAGCTTGTTATTTAATTGAAGACTTAGCCATAGGTGCTCCCTGCAGCAAGTCAAGACTCAGGGGCCTCTCTACGTAAAATAGTGCCTATGGCTGTTAGTGGAAACCCTGGTGGTGCAGTGGTTAAGAGCTACCGCTGCTAACGAAAAGATTGGCAGTTGGAATCCACCAGGCAGGCGCTCCTTGGAAACTATTGTGCAGTTTTACTCTGTCCTATAGGGTCGCTATGAGTCAGAATCGACTCCTCGGCAATGGGTTTATGGTGGTTAGTTTTAAATTGCTAAGTGATCTCTAACAGCTGGCAATAGAAACTGTGATGGCCAATAGAAACTGCTCATTAGCGCCCCTCCCCAAGTGGCACCCTACCTGCCATACCTTAGTTATACCTCTGTAATCTCACTCTTTGTTATTTTGAAATTATTTTCTTTACCACTTGTCCAAAAGACAGGCAGACTTTTGGGACGAAATTTTTAGTTTGCTTTCATCCTCAGTTTATACTCTTTATTACTTTTATTTGACAATATGCTTCTCCGCATATGTTAGTGGCAAGGTTTAAGTGTAAAAGACCAGTGGAGTGATAGGTTGTTGTGTGCCGTGGAGTCGATTCTGACTCATAGTGACCCTACAGGGGCCCTATAGGACAGAGTAGAACTGCCCTGTAGAGTTTCCAAGGCTGTAATCTCACAGAAGCAGACTGCCCTATCTTTCTCCCAAGGAGTGGCTGGTGGGTTTCAAACCACTGATCTTTGCAATTAGCAGCTGAGCACTTAAACACTGTGCCACAAGGTTTTCTTCAATTGATAGATTACCACGGGGATTGTTATATTTGATGTTTGCTGCCTTTAGACTGATTGTTGATCCTGGACTAAAAATCTACAGAATCTCTGTGGATATTAAATCATATTAAAGATCCAAATGCATCAGTTTTGTTATTTTTAATCATTTTTCAAAAAGAAATAAAAGTACTTTAAGTACAGAATTTGTTAAAAGATATTTTTTGGTTGAGTGTTTTAGAATACAGGCATGAGAACTGTTCTACTCTGAATCGAAATGGATGAAAATAAGAATAGGATCTGATTTTGAGTTCTAATATATGTATCGCTTTTAATAAAATCTGGAAAATAGTATTAAGTTTAAAATTTTATTACTACCTAACCCCCATATGTTGTTAAAGGGTATTGGTGGTTTAGTGGTAGAATTCTTGTCTTCTATGCAGGACAACAGGTTCAATTCCTGGCCAGCGCACCTCACTCGCGGCCACCACCCGTCTGTCAGTGGAGACTTGCATGTTGCTATGATGCTGAACAGATTTCAGTGGAGCTTCCAGACTAAGGCAGACTAGTAAGAAAGGACTGGCAATCTGCTTCTGGAAATCAGCCAATGGAAACCATATGGATCAGAATGATAATTCCAGTGTACATGGAGTAGCCAATTTGAAGGCAGCTAACAACTCAGCCAGTAAATTTTATGGCATGAGAAACAAGAATTCACTTAACTTCTCCTGGCTTCACTGACCTACTTAGTAAAACGAAAGGCTAGATCATTCAACTGATTTGATTTACTGAGTGTTTTTCTGTTTTTCTTTTAGATTCTATTGATCTGATCCAAGGTATCTTGTGACTGCTGGCTGGAATCAAGGTTGGTGATATGTTTCTACTGATCATGAATAAACTGTAAAATAAAGTAAAGGGCCTATAGACAGCTAAGTGATAGTATGCTTGTAGAATATGGTAGAAAACTGAAACTTAGAACTGGATATAGTTCATTCCGACTTGGGACCCTTGCAATACAGTTGCACTGTTTGTTTCCATAGTTAATATAGTTTCTTTGGTCAGTGAGTGTTTCATTTATTTTACCTGTCTTACTAACCTACTTTTTTGATTACATAACAAGGTCCAGTTTTAATTCATTCATTCAACAAACACATGTCTCAAAATAATGACTTCTATGTAGCACTGGCTAACATTTTAAGGAATGATCAGCTTTCTGCATTTGCAGGGAAACACCTTTCAATTCCACAATTTGGTAGCCGTGTAAAATGCATTTCCTAAGGAGGGTAGGGTTGAAAAATAACTTATCAACTGTAAATTTCAGTTAATTAATTTCAGTTTTTAAGATACCATTCCTTTTGTTCTGTTTTGTCATTAATTGGTTTTGTAAGAGACATAAAATCAGCTTAACTGGGTTTAGAGTAGTAACAGAGCCTTGTAGGGTAATCACATCAATAGCCTTGAATTTCCTTTATTCCTTCTATTTTCGTATCTAGAACATGTATTCAGATTTTCAAACAAAATAAAAAACTAAACCCTGAATGCATTGTGGGCTTTTGTTGCTCATAAAAGAGCAAAATACCAGATGTTGCTAAACTTTCTGTATAGGCTTTTGATTAATAATTAACATGAAGGAAAACATCGCCTTTTCATTTACACTTACACTAATCAGAAATTTAGCCTTCAAAGCCCATATTTACCCTTCAGATTGCAGTGTCTAACACAGAGCAGGCACACAGTAAATATGTACCCTTTGTGGCCTCAATTCTGACCTTCCTACCCAACTCCCAATACACATCACACGCACGCACGCGCATGCGCGTACCCACAGACAGATGAAAGGCTATGATTATTTCTCTTTTTCAAGGATTAACTGTGCGTTCCTATCTTAAAATCTGTATGAAAGCAAATTGAATATGTTGGAATTATGACTGTTGCTAATTAGCAACTTAATAAGGAAAAAGTAAAATGACTACAGAAGTAATGGTTTAAGGACTTTATTTGTAAACTGTATCATTTTATTATGGGTTGATGTAGTTTGGGGTTGAATTTCTTGAAGACACTTAAGTGGCTTCCCTGTATAGTCTCTCCGCAGTTCTATGTAAATTTGCTGACATTTAAACATGCAATTTGTTTGAAGACTTTTTGGACTTCTGCTACTCTTCTTTCCCTGCCAGCCCCCACCCCATCCACCTGCCAAACAGAAATTACTAGTAGAATGAGATTTTGATAAAGTATGAGTCTTTGAATCAGGAACATTTTCAATGCACAAGGTTAAGTTTGAATTGGTAACTTTGCATTTTAATTAGAAGTAAACTGTATTTTCTCTTCTTTCCTTTTTGGATTTTTGTTTTGTGGTTGGTATGTTCAACATGGCAGTTTGAAACGTCATTCTGGTTTGGCCACTTTTCAGAAAGAAAGAAAACTACAATGAAACATAGAAAATGAAAATGAATAAAAGATTTTGATAAATAAAAAATACCTGTAAGGGTAATACACAAAAACTTGTCTAATCTAGTCCCCTACTCATTTTCTGTAGCGAGAGCTTCTTTTGTGAGAGAGTGAACATAAATTTGAGTGTGTTTGGTAAAATTGTAGAAAGTCAGGATGACTTACATGTTGTAAAGTAAATACATCAATTAAATATATAGAGTATACATAGGAATGGAAAAATGTCTCTCATTGCCAGGTTGTCGTCCTACTTGGATATGTATAATTCAGCACAATTGGTATTACTTTTCCTTTTTGCACACAGAGAATGAAAAAGATTGTTTTTACATTTGAAAATTAGTTATCTAAATCACATTTTCATAAACTATCTAGATGTAGCAAGGTTTTTTAAAAAATTTTTTGTAATACATGAATTGCCAGAAACAGCCAGAGTCTCAACACAGAATACGATATGTAATGAAAATTACCATTATTTTCTCAACTAGAATTAAGTTTTATTTTTGCAAGGGGAAAAAAAGTGTTTTTTTTAATAGTAAAATTTGTTTTTCTGTAATATTAGCTGAGCAAAGTGACTAGTGTTGTTGTTGTTGTTAGGTGCCACTGAGTCAGTTCCAACTCACGGAGACCCTGTGTACAACAGAATGAAACAATACCTGGTCTTGCACCATCCTCACAATCATTGCTGTGTTTCAGTCCACTGTTACAGCCACTGTGTCAATCCATCTTGTTGAGAGTCTTCCGCTTTTTAGTTGACCCTCTACTTTACCAAGCATGATGTCCTTCTCCAGGGACTGGTTCCTCCTGATAACATGTGCAAAGTAAGTGAGACAAAGTCTCACCATCATCCCTTCTAAGGGGCATTCTGGCTCTACTTCTTCCAAGACAGATTTGTTCGTTCTTCTGGCAGTCCATGTATATTCAATATTCTTTGGAAGATGGAAGAAGAAAAGCAAGGAATAATCTGTTGCTGTTGAGTCGATTCTGACTCAGAGCAACCCTATAGAACAGAGTAGAACTACCCCATGGAGTTTCTAAGGAGTGGTGGGTGAGTTTGAACTGCCGACCTTTTGATTAGCAGCCATAGCTCTTAACCACTGTGCCACCAGGGCTCCAATTCAAATGATAGTTTTTCTAAATCATGGTTTGCTATCTATACTATCATAATAAAATCTTTGCATATATGAAGTAAGCTCCTTGAGATGATGCAATTCCAAGGAAACAGAGTGGTTATTAATACATCAAGTATTGAGAGTCCATTTGAGAGTAGATTCTGTGGAAGTTGTAGAAGTATTAAAAGTGTTCCCTTCTTTGCTCTCCAATAGTTTATGGTCAAGTTATGGGGAGGGAAAACTAAAGCACATAAATAGTAACTAGTATATGATGTTACAGTCAAATATTAAATACAGACATAGCTTTCTAGAGCAGTCCAGAGGAGATATAATTCCATGTCATTTAGGAGGACCTCATTACAAAATGGAGCTTCAGCTGGGTTTAAAGTGAATAGAATTTAAATAGGCACAACAGAGTGTGAGAAGTAGAGAAAGAAGGGCATTTCTTGGAAGGGGTCTATGTAAGCAAAGGCACAGAGAAGGGAATGGAATGGGACATTAGCAAACCTGAATGAACGTAAGGTGCAGAACAGGTTTACTATGGGTGTGGGCTCTTCCCCTTCCATCTCTACTCTCTCTGTCTTTCATGTTTTTTTTATCTTTTCACAAATATTGTTGAACTACTGTTATGTATATCTTTTTTTTTTTTCTAATGTGAACAGAAAACTCAATTCATCATGAGATTGTTCTTGTTCTCTTTGTGTACAAAGAACAGTTAAATAGGAAAATTCTAATGTGGATGTCTCTTCCAAGAGATCCCCTTAATAAATTTTTTTTATTGTCTTAGATTTTGTGATGACAAGAAAAGCAAACACCAGTACTTCAACATATGGTACCTAAATGTTCTAACTAGCACTCCTGCTATCTGTATATTTATTTTATTTTAATATTAATATTACTAAGCTTGTTTATAAATTAAAAGTGAATAAATAGTAAAATTAAGTAGAATATCTCATTAAAATTTTAGATGGAAAATTTGGAATTTCACCATTTAAATTCTTTGTTAAAATATCTAAAAGGGCTCCACTACAGAGAGAAGGATTCATTGTAATCGGTATAAAATGAGCAGATAATTATTGCTTCTTAAGAAAAAGTGGTCAGTAGACGGTTTTGGTTCTTAAAAAATACTGTTAACTTATTCTAAAGCCAAAAAAAATTTAGATATTAAAATTGAAAGATTAAAGTAAAATCATCATCACTTCTTCCTTACACGCATAGTAACCTGATTGTTGGGTAAATTATCCGGGTAGTACTGTCAGATGTGGCCTTTGCAAGGGAAAACAGACCTCCATGGGGAGAACAGAATGGACAATATAAAAATAACTGCCCACTTGAAGTGTGTCTGAGATCGGGCATTTACAGCTTTTTGGTGCATTTAACCTAAACCTTGCTCAATTTAAAGACCCTCAGAACTCATTCAAATGCTAATGTTTGGCCATCTGCTTTTTTTTAAGCAGAGCAAGCTGAAGGTCATGTGACCCTAGTTACTGCATTTAAGCTTTCTGGGAGCAATCACTCAGGTTGCACCCAGAATGAGCATCTGTTGATGATAAATAGATCAGAAGATTACTAAAGACAGACTTCTCTATAAGACACCAATGATTTATTTCTTAATATGTATATAATACATAGCTAAAACCCGTATCTACTAAGAACATTCTTTTTCTCATACAGTTTCCTTTCTCCTTTAAATTCCTGTTTAAAATTTGGTAGGAACAGTGTAAAATCCCTATTTGTGTGTCTGCGCACGTGTGTGTGCTCATTATGTGAGACTACAGCATTCTAAAGAAGCACATGGAGAAAATACTAGCAATGACTAATGATGAAGCAGCAGCCATCACCTACACAAATTTTAATTCTCTGTGCAAAGAGGGAAACATTTCCTAAGGGCTAAATATTTCAAGCAGAAATAGTATTTTATATTATTTTATTTTGTTTTAATAATTTAGAGGAAGAGGTGAAGACCTAACTTCTAATGATAAGAGTGTATGTTTAAGAGAAAATTCTTCAGACCACTTAAGGCCTTCTTAGGGTCTTTCTTTAACAAGGCAAATTATTTTCCCTTGCATAAGGCCATTTATCTATCAAGAGATTCTAGTTTCATAGGATAGATTTTAGCAGTGTTGTTTACTTTGCTCCTTATTATACATACTTCTCAGACTCTAGAGGACTTATAGTTTTAAATTTCATTGTTTATTA